TTTTTTTTTTTTTTTTGGGTTAAATATAGTTTTTTAAAAATAATAAATATATGATATTTGTATTATTATTTTGACACGTTTTGGAATTCAATTTAATTATCGAGTAAATTTTTTAATTTAAATAATTCTTATTAAATAATCAATGAAATAATTATGAAATTAAATAAAATTATAATAAATATAATAAAAAAACTCATAAATTTGGGGGTAAGAAGTTGGGTTGAGTTACAGTGATAATTTTTTTTTAACCAACTTAAAATTTTAGGTGGTTTGGGTTGGCCACTTGATGATTTAAATAGGTTCACGACATAACCCAACCAAACCCTTTATTTTCGAGTTGGTTTGAGCTCCATGAAATGGTCGTGTTGGTCTGAGTCCACCTAAAAAAAGGTTCCAACCATTGAATCAGTTATCGGATTCTATGAACCACCCCAGATAAATGGTCGATTACATAATAATATAATTTGAACCTCAAACAAGTTATGATATTTTCATTAAAATATAGTTATATAAAAAAATAGAATAATTTATTTGATAAATATTATAATTTTAATTAAATCGTCAAAATTTAAATTTTTTGGGACTCAATAATAATTTACATATTTATGGATTAAATTTTATAAATAATAGATAATTAACTTAAAAAAATTTCAATTATTGAAAATTCAAATATTTATTTAAGAATCTATTAAAAAAATAATTAAAAGTTTAAGAATTCATTAAATTTAAACTAAAACCTCAAATTAAAAAGCTAAGCTCCTAATTTAACAAAAAAAAAAAAAAAACAATTTATTAAAGAAAACGTGTTCCACGATCTGAGGATTAATTAAAAAACCTTAAACATGGCCGGCAGGACTTTCCAATCGGTTTTTTTTTTTTTTTTTTTTTTTTTTTTTTTTTTTTTTTTTTTTTTTTTTAATTATAAATATTATACTATATATATTTAAATTTAATTCGGAGGAAAAAAAAAAAAAAACCATTTAAATAGATTGTAGGGGTCGTTGATCCGATTTCAGACAGTATTACGCATTACCCGCTTTCTCTAGGTACGTCGTCTCTTCCTTTGAATTTTCGCTCCTTTTTTTTCTTTCTTTGTTTTGATTGATTATTTGTCTGTTCGATTTTTTCGCTGATTCGAGTTTATTTTTCGTTTAATCTGTTCATAATCTTTGATTTTGTTTTTTTTTAACGGTCTTCGTAAGAAATTTGTTGTTCTCTTTAATTGCGGAAGGACATGGGATTCATGGCCAATCAAAAGCCAATTCCGTTCTCAGAGATATTCATAGATCGCTGTAAATTGTTTAAATTGGGGAATTCAAATTTCAGCATCTAGTCAATCGGTAGGGTCTTGGGATTTAGGATTCGGAGGCGGAATTATGAAGGTCGAGCCTCTAAATCGTTCAAGACATGGCGTTAGCCGTTGGATCTAAATACTAATTCGCTTTTAATCGGAATTAGGTGCTGCAGATTCTCGAACTCATAGTTCTGGGTATTTGCATCACATCAGAGATAATATATGGCGTCCAGTTTCACTCAATCATCTGGAAATTTAGTTGAGATGGTATTTTATATCTATCTATATATACCTCTCTCTCTATATATAGATATATATGTATGCTTAAAATAGCAACTGCACTTCTTTCACCATATATTTTTCAAGGGTTTGCTGGTTGGAGAAATCATGCGCCAAAATGTTAGCCTACAGTTTAGGGGATTCTGTTTTTTCTACATATCTTTATATATTGCTAAGTTTTATATTAAAGAAGTTTATTACAATGTCTTGTGTGTTAAGCGAACTCATTGACCCATCTTTGCTTTTGTTCACTATTATCCACCAATAAGGGGAGTCTTTTGTTAAGCGAACTCATTGACCCATCTTTGCTTTTGTTCACTATTATCCACCAATAAGGGGAGTCTTTTGATCATTGTTAAGATTGTGCAATATGTATCAAGTTTTTATGGCTCTGATTTGAGTGTAGAGAATTTTAACTGATTGGAACAATTTTTTAATATAGTGGACTCATAATAACCTGTTTAAAACTAATGACTAAATTAACTGATTGGAACAATTTTTTAATATAGTGGACTCATAATAACCTGTTTAAAACTAATGACTAAAGGGCATTGAATTTCATTATCTTAAAGCAGGGTCGGTTCTGTGGTCTGACTAGATTATGTAACTTTTAGATTTTTTTTATATGGCTTGGAAGAATATAGAGAACCATTTCTAGTTTCTGGTTCTAAGTCCTTTTAGATTTTTTTTATATGGCTTGGAAGAATATAGAGAACCATTTCTAGTTTCTGGTTCTAAGTCTTGCTTGAACATGTTATGTTTTTAAAAATTGGTTTGTTGTAAAGGTTTTTCCAGTTAGAATGGGATAAATGGAGTATTAAATCAGTTGAGCTACGTGCTCGTGCTTTTCTTGTTCAATTCGTTATTCTTCTCAATTCTATCTTTTCTTTATTCTTCCTTAGGCTTCCTATACTAGACCCTCAAAAGATTTGAGTCAACAGAAGTGCTCCATGAGGGAGTGTTGTACATTCAATTTGAAAAAAGCCCTCAAAAGATTTGAGTCAACAGAAGTGCTCCATGAGGGAGTGTTGTACATTCAATTTGAAAAAAGTGATAATAAAGTGCATTAGAACAAGAAGTTTAGTTTGAAATTATTAGGTCAAGGTCCATACCTCTTTTTATTGTCGTTAAGTAAATTTCTTTTCTGGAAGGTCCGACTCTGATTCAGTCAGGTTAATGCTCTTTTTATTGTCGTTAAGTAAATTTCTTTTCTGGAAGGTCCGACTCTGATTCAGTCAGGTTAATGGAAGAACAATGATTCTTAATTTTTTTATCTAAGTCTTATTACTGGGACGTGCATAAAGATGAGTGCAACCGAGTTTAGAGTACCTCCTTAATTTCTATGGGTATTGGACCCAAATCTGCAGTTTTTCTTAATTAACTATTGCATAGTTGTAGCAGTCCAACCTCATGGCTAACAGATATTGTATTTTTTGGGCTTTTCCCTCGAGGTTTTAAAATGAGTTCCCTAGTGAGAGGTTTCTACACTTAAGGAATGTTTCATTCCCTTCTCCAATCGATTTAAAATGAGTTCCCTAGTGAGAGGTTTCTACACTTAAGGAATGTTTCATTCCCTTCTCCAATCGAGCGTGGGATTTCACAATCCACCCTCCTTGTGACCTAACATACTCGTTGCACAGGGCCTGGTGTCTGACTTTGATACCGTTTGTAACAGTCCAAGCCTATCGTTTGTAACAGCACAGCGTGCTTTTGGGCTTCCACACTGACCCGTCAACTGACCCTACCCGCCTAGTGACCCGAAAGTCAACACCGGCCTGACCCGACCCATATAGCTGATTCCGACTCACTACCCAAACCAGATCCGAAGGTAAACATGACCCAAGGTTCAGAGACCCAATTCTCGCAAATTTACATCGTTTTGACTCGAATTCTACAACTTCTTTAGTTTTGATATATTTTCTTAATGCAGGACTTGAAGATCTGGAAAGGAATTAAAAATTTGTTAAAGACCCTCCCTCAAGATTTTAAAATGCCTCTTCATGCCTCTTCTAGAGAGATGTTTTCACAATGTTTCGTTTCCCCTCTCCAACAGATGTGGGATCTCACAATATCATTCGGGTTTTTATGCAAAATCTGCACTCAATTTTAGTGGACATCTGAACGTCATTTATCAGTTTAGCAACTGCAATCAAATTATGCATTCCTTTTCTCCCCATTTTCTTGGCCGCTCTTGTTTGTGTGCTTGTCTATGTATGTTGCAAGAATCTAGCTATTGTGTGTTATAAATTTTGCTTACAATTGTCGCTATACACTGCCAGTGCCGTTAATACTTCATTGCAGCTTCTGGATCCCTTTTTGTCCAGCCAGAATAACATTTTGAATCCCTTGCAGAAAACAAAACAAACAGAGTGCCATTATATGGATATAACAGTACCTGGAAAGAATGTTTCTGAGGAAGTGACTCGTGAGTCGCTTATCGCCATCTCTTACTCAGAACCAGAATCAGCTCTCTCTTCAAAGCGACCATCTGGAAAGCTCAATAGCAAAAACCTCAATCTGGTGGAAGGGAAAGAATTTGATGCAGATGAGAAATATAGATCTGAGCTGATTGCTATTTCCTTCCTCGAGTCGCCACCCGAAATTGGAAGTGTACCCGTCGGCAAACTCAAAGGTTAGCACCTGGATGTTCGTTATCGTAATTGTATACACTCTTATGTAGAAATGATGCTAATCTAAGTGTGTTGTTGCAACCATGGAGCAATCGTGTCCATGTTCTTTGGTTCTGTAACTTAGACCCTCCACTGGTTCTGTACTATCTTTATCTTTTGAAAACGTATTGCCGTGTGAGCCCAATGAATGAACTTATGAACCCTTGCTACTTAGCTTTATTATGGTGCCTTAATGATTGTATATAGCTTATACATTGTATCTTATAATAGCTTGTATATGAATCTTAGCGAGATATATATACATATATGTTCAAATTTGCTATTTTATTTTTAGAATGGTTCTAGGCTGTGTATCATTATTTTGAATATTGATACTTATTATTATTTTTTTTTTTTTAAGTTTGAAAGTTTGAGCCTTATCTCTGATTCTTTTTACGAGCATATATATAACTGTAAGGATGGAGAGATAAAAGAAAAATAGTAGTTTATCAAACTTTTTCAAAGTTGTATATATATATGTACGTACGTCTGTATTTATATATATATAGCCCATCAGAGATTTCAACGTAGATTACTTATTATCTCGAACTCTTTATTTATTTATTTATTATTATCAAGAGCTTAATATAATCAAATTTTACAACTTTGTAAAAGTCCTAATTATACCCTATTCAAATTACGATAAAAAAATATTATTTATTTATTTATTTTAAAATATTGGTCTCTTAACCTCACTCTTATAAAATTTTAAAATACCCACCGTGTAATATTTATTTATTTTATTTATTAAGGTGGATAAAAAATATCTTTGGACTCATGATAAAAAAACTAAATTTTAGTTTTTAGATTTATTGAGAGTTTAAGGAATAAATTTAAACATTTAAAAATATAACAAAAATATTATCTAACGTTATAATTGAAGTGTTGGATGAGGTTAATTTAGGGAATGGTTATGAGTTTATAATCTCTTAAGCTCAAAGTGACAATATCATACCATTATGGAGAGTCGTTCGTCTAACATTAAGAAATATTTAATATAAAAAATGAAACCTTTTTTAAAAAAGAAAAATTCATAAAAAAATTAAAAACCACAATATTATAATTAGAAATATAGTTTTATCTTGTCAAATTGATGCGCGGCGAAGATAATTAGAGAAGCATCAGCGGCGCCCCTTGGCGGTCTCTCAAATTTATCATAAAATATAGTTCGGTTGGTGTGAGGCCTTTTAGGAAGTTTAAAACCATGAGAGCTTATAGTCAAAGGTCAAAGTGGACAAGAGCTTATGGTCAAAGCTCAAAATCTACCTTGTGTAGAGTCGTGTTTGTTAACATGGTATCAGAGGTGTGCCCTAAACTTAGTCATGTAGATTGGTAAATCTTCAAATATGGAACAAAAAATTCCAAAAGAAAAGGAGTCGAGCCTCAATTAAGAAGAGGCCGCACTTTGTTCGAGAGGAGACGTTGGATCCTCAAATATCCAAAAAGATTTCAAAAGAAATGGAATGTGAGCCTCAATTAAGAAAGGCAACAGTTAGGAGGTGTTGGATGATGTGGACTAAAATGGCCGCGGAAACTTGATGAGAAGAACCGAGAAGAATGGCTACGGGTGTCGGAAACTGAACGTCCGGCGGATGGTAAGTTCCTAAAATGGCGGCCGCCTCTTGTGCTGTCGTCGAACGAATTCCACTGGTCGATTTTGTTATCGAGGTTAGAGATGCTATGGTATGCTAGCTTCTACTATTGTTTATTCGCTCTCATTGCATGTTGTTTAATTTCGTATCGGCACCTCCAAGTGTTCATTGAAATGCCGGTTCACGATGAGTTAAATTTTTTAGTTTCAGTTCATTTCCTGTTATCTTCTTTTTCCAATCTATTTGGAATCATAGAGTTGTTTATTCTTTTTTGTGGGGGTTTGATTCGGAAGAATGAAGTTGTATTGAAACTGATGGATTACGTTTGTAATTATGGAGGGAACGAATCACTTTAAATGTTTGTTTATTCCTCTACGTGTTATTGCTTTGTTTTGTTTTCTTCAGATTCCGATGTCATCTGAATATGAAATCATGAAAAATTATCCACCATCAACGAAACGAATCATTATATTGAACAAGACGGACCTAGCGGATCGGTCACAGACAGAGGTTCGTAATTTCTGTAACTTCCATGTTTTTCCTTCATTTTAGCTTAGCTTTTACTGCTGGAGTTCCTTTCAAGTCATTCTGGATTTCGTAGGTTATTAATGTACCTAATGTGATTTGTCATTGAAGTCTGGTTGATCATAATAATGACAATTCTATGGGATATTTGTGGGGAGAACATGAGAAGATACAATTGAAATACCAGTGGGACGTAATTTATTATCTTCCCTCGTTATGATCAATGATACAGGGGTTTTTAAATTTTCGATTGTTTATGATTTTTCACATGACTTTTACTTCAATTTTTTCCCCTTTTAGTTTAAGTTTGTTCCCCGGTCACCTTATGTGATCTTCCAGTTATCTTTGGATACAAATATATATTTGTTACTTATCAAAATAGAATTGCAGTATATTGATCTTCCAGTTATCTTTGGATACAAATATATATTTGTTACTTATCAAAATAGAATTGCAGTATATGAAGCAGGATTAGTACTTGAGGATCATTTAACATTAATTCTTCAGTAGATATACCATTTTTGAGGTGGTTTATTCTTTTACAGTTTGAATCATATTCAAATCGATTCATTAGTCCAATGTTTCACATGTTTATACTTCACTCTATTAATAGGACTGGACAAGATATTTTGAAGACCATGCATCTCTTATGGCGTTAGGTGAATATTAGGGAGGTAAAGAGCTAAGATGTAATCTTTTTGTGTTCATTTTTAATTGCTATCTTGTTTGAGCAACATATTTTCCTCTTACTTTCCAGCTTTGAAATGCTGTTGATGGTAATTGTCAGATGTCTTGGCGCAACATATTTTCCTCTTACTTTCCAGCTTTGAAATGCTGTTGATGGTAATTGTCAGATGTCTTGGCAGTGTATGCATTTTTTTTTTCTCTAACCATGTTTTGTGCAAAATTAAGTGCCAACTAATTGTAATTTATACATCCCATATTCCAAAATGATACTTTGTCACCGTGGGACAATCCATTATTTGTTCGATTAATTTATACATCCCATATTCCAAAATGATACTTTGTCACCGTGGGACAATCCATTATTTGTTCGATCTTTTGAGCTGGCCTTAGTTGTTCAAATAACAATTAAGGTGAAGGAAGGTCAGGAACAACGAATCTCTTTATGATAAACAGATTCATTTTGCAAGTTCATTATTGTGGGTAGTTCCTACAAAGGATCGGACTAATGACATATACAATACTTGAATTCTCGATGTAGATGCTACATAGTTGGTTCTCATCCTTCAGAGACTATGAGTGTAATAGAAGCATCCGTCGACAAAAGGATCACCCTAAGATGATCATCACATGGCTATTGAGAACGAATCAAATCAAGCTAGAGTTGGACAATTGAAGAAGAGCGGTCATTCTAGTCATGCCACAACAATGATGCTGTTTTGAAATCTAAATGTCACTAAGTCGGCCCTTGCCAGCTCTCTGCATCAAATTGGGAGAATTAGTGCTGTAGGTACATATCTTAAATTGCACAGAATTCAAGTTTTCTAGAGCAGTTGATCCTGGAATTGTTTGGGTGAATGATGATAGTTATTCATCTAATAAGAGAATTGCTATTTATGACATTTTGAAGTATCGCTCACCACCTCACAGAAAAAGGGAAGTTGAAGTATACTATGGTGAGTCCACACCCTTGTGAAACAAAAATTATCAGCAGCTTGAAGGTGTGTCGAAGTTGTCTTACTATCTTGGGGTTACTGATTCAGTTGTTGAGGTGTTTATTCAAAAGTTTACATTATAACATATTTTGGGTTGATCAAGGCTTAATTATCGTCTATCCTTGTAGAAGAAAAAACAATGTGTACTTCTGTTTTGTACAAGTTACTAAATTTCTTCTTGCTTTGATTTACAGATTAGCCAGTCCATCCCAATGTTTATGTGTTAGATACCCAGGGATTTTGCCTCCCAAAATTCTCAACCTCGAGGTCTGTTCCAAGCTTGCTTTATACACCCATCATCCTTGCGTAATTTTTTTCTCCTTCTAGTGTAGCATTTCTGCTAGTTCAGAGACTAGGAGATATTGAGAATCTTGAAACTATTAACTATTCTGTTTTTCCTCTCAAACTGCAGTCGCTTAGAGACATCTTAGTCGGGGAAAATTGTACATTGTACAGTGCCTCTTAACTACTGTCAACTCAAATGTGATAATTATAAGAAGCTGTGACAGCTCGTTGGAGTGTTAGGGGGTATCCATCTGATCACACGCAGGTATAAGCACTATCTGGTTTTTTTTTTATTTTTTTTAAACTGAACCTAATTCATGCAAGTTATTTGGGAATTAGATTATTAGTGTACTAATAAGATACTAGAATTTGAATCTCCAACTTAAAAGGAAAGAATACTAAACTATACTTGACATATTGATTTTGAATTTTCGTCCTTTGGGAGACAAGCTTCTCATTGAATAAATAGTTTGTATCTCTTCCTTTGACTTAAAAATGCGAATTAAAGGTAATTTCCTGATAAGTTTGAGTAGTAGCTTTTTGAAATCGACAGTAAAAGCATCATAAATTGTAACGGCTCAAGCCTACTATTAGCAGATATTGTCAATCTTTGGGTTTTTAAAACACATTTGCTATGGAGAGGTTTCCACACCCTTATAAAGAATGCTTCGTTCTCGTCCTCAACCGATGTAGGATCTCACAATAAATACACTACTTGAGCTAGTTTGATATTCATCCTTATCACATATTTTGTTTGGAAAGTAGATCCATGAGAGTCAGTCATGCTCTTTGTTTTTCTTCATTTCATTTCATATCATAATTCTCTCATGGAGAGAGGAATAGAGGGTGGGAGTTCCAAGGTATTTACTCATGCCCTCCTTTTAGACATTAGTAGTTAGTTGATCAGTTCCATTCTTTTGAGGAAAAGAAATTGCTGTGTCTGAATTCTTCAACCATACCTTAATAAATTAGATCTCCATTCTTTTGAGGAAAAGAAATTGCTGTGTCTGAATTCTTCAACCATACCTTAATAAATTAGATCCCACCAATCACCTTCTCTTTGTTCCTATGACTTAGTTTTTTCTCCCTCCCCCTCCTTTTTTTTTCTTTGAATAATGATTCCTATGCTTGAAACTTGATAATATGTTTCTCATCTTCTGGAAAATACCAGAGATCTTTCCAATTTTTATTTATGTTAGTCAAAGATAATATGTTTCTCATCTTCTGGAAAATACCAGAGATCTTTCCAATTTTTATTTATGTTAGTCAAAAATTGCTGGTTCCCTCACAGTTGTGGCGTTTGATTTTCATAGCTGTGCTAAATTAATGTGTATGCGTGTATCTATCTGTATATATATATGTATATGTATATGTATATGATAGTGAATATATGTGTATATTTATGTGTGTATGTATGTATGTGTATGTACATGTATGTATATGATAGTGAATATATATGTGTATGATAGTGAAATGGTGCCTCTGGATTGTATGTACATGTATGTATATGATAGTGAATATATATGTGTATGATAGTGAAATGGTGCCTCTGGATCCCATAGCAAGTTAAGTTCAGAGTACGTATATGTATGTATATGTATATATTTGCTTATGCATGTATATGTGTATATATGTTAGTTCAGAGTACGTATATGTATGTATATGTATATATTTGCTTATGCATGTATATGTGTATATATGTTTCAATTTTATATGAGGTCCTGAAGGGACTGTCGAGGATTATTATTGGGAGTGAGTCGCACATAGGCTAATTTAGTGGAAGATCATGGGTTTATAAGTGAGAAATATTATCTCCATTAGTATGAGACTTTTTGGGGAAGTCCAAAGCAAAGCCACGAGAGCTTATGCTCAAAGTAGACAATATCATACCATTCTGGAGATCCATGATTTCTAATGGGTACTATATCGAGGATTATTATTGGGAGTGAGTCGCACATAGGCTAATTTAGTGGAAGATCATGAGTTTATAAGTGAGGAATACTATCTCCATTAGTATGAGACTTTTTGGGGAAGTCCAAAGCAAAGCCACGAGAGCTTATGCTCAAAGTAGACAATATCATACCATTCTGGAGATCCATGATTTCTAACGGGTACTATATATGTATGTACACGTTTTAAGTTTGTGTCTAATAGACCATTGAATTTAAAAATTTTAAATGTATTTCAAATATTCAATATTTTTAAAAATTAATAAATCCAGTAGATATGAAATTAAATTTATTTTTATATCGTTAAATTTCTAAAGTTTTAGAATTTTTAAATAGGACAACCATCTCTTAAAAAACTTATTAATAGACTGGCCTCTTCTTCCACTATCATTTTAATTTATTAATTTTTTCCTATTTAATTGACTTTTTTAATTTTTTTATAAATAAACTCTCCCATCCTTTTCTGGTTACTGTTTTAATAAAAATATTGGATTTAAATATAAATAGTACCAAAAAAAAAAAAAAAAACAAATAGAGACGTCTTAATCTTTGACTATAATTTAGTATACAAATGTGTGCTTGTTATGTGTTCATAACACGACATTAGACAGAAAAATACACATAATCCAATGATTCTTCCTTGTATTTTTATAATGTAGAGCTTCTTTTAAACATATATGATTAACCATCATGAACTTAGGAATAATAATTAATTTGACTTTAATTCATTTTAGTCTTAGCTTAGCTTAGCTTGATCTCCTAAATGTTTAGCTAAACTTTGAGTGTCTAAATGGGTTTACTTCTCCCTTTCATCATTTGCTTCCTACTTTTCCGTTTTTTTAATTTATTTATCATATAATAAGCTTATTTTATGTTTTATATAATATATGGCGTCTAAAAGTTTAATATATTCACTACGGGTAAATATATATGAAAATAAAGTTTTAGATATTAGCTCATTAAAACAAAACCGAACTAGTTAAGATTTACAGAAATTTACAAGGGATAGTAATTTCAAAGCATAATTTGAGATTTAAAAAAGAAAAAAAAAGACAAATTAAGCTTTTGCTTTTTATATTTCAATTATAAATATCTGTGCTGTGCTAGAGAGGAAAATAATTTTTTTTTTAATTTTGTGAAAAAAAAAATCTCATATTTATTTATTTATTGTTTAATCCGAAAATTATAATTATCAGAAATAATTGTGTGAGAGAGGGATCGACTTTTACTACTGTTTTATTTAATAAATGATTTATTATTATTTTTTAAATAATAATTATAAAAAAAATTAAAAAAAGGAAGGAATAGAGTCTGCCTAAACGGTCAGAGAAGAATAATTAATAAAAAATTTCCCCACATTTTGGGTTTGAATTAATGAATAAATAAATATGAAAATACTTATAAAATTAAGTCAAACCCGGCAAGTCCTTCGATGCAATTCAATTTACAATACTACCCCTATTCCAAAGTAACTCCCCCAACCTTGCATTTATTTTGTTTTGGTACTTTCAATTTGCTTTAATTTCACATTTAACCCAACATTTTTATTTTTTTATTTGTTTATTTTGTACCCTTTTATAGAAAAATTTAGTCATAAATTAATTTATTTTGTACCCTTTTATAGAAAAATTTAGTCATAAATTAATTTTTTTGTACTCAATAACCTCTGCAACAGTTATTTAAAAATAATTTATATTATTTTTTGGACTAAATTAATAAAAATACCTCCATATGATAGAATTTTCAATAATAACTTTAAATTTTTTTTAAAATATTAAAAAATACTTAGCTGAACTAAAAAAAAATAGAAAATTAAAACGTATTTATTTATAAATTGGAATGATAAATGCCGAAAATTGGAGGGTCAAATTGCAATAATAAAAAATTTAATAATAACCTTTCCTTTGCTTCCAATTTATAGCGTAACAATTAGTTTTTTATTGGACTTCCAAATTTTATTATATAGTTTAGATTAAATTATATATATATAAAAAAAATTAAAATTTAGTAATTTTAGAAGTTATAATTTCAAATAAAATAATTATAAAGAATCAATACCCATAGAAATTAATTTTTACACTTGAAACTATGAATACAAATTTCTAAATTTCTAAAAAATTACCAGGGTTAAATTTGTAATTTAACATATAATTTTCGAAAAATTAAAATAAAACAATAACATGAAAATTTCTTCTTTAGACTTTCTTCTTGGCTTATCGACGTCACCTCACGAACTGTTCGCTATAAGATCCTCTTCGTCTCTCTCGCCATTGAATGAAGCTTTTTGCAGATCAAAACCTTCTGCTTCGCTTCATTCATCAATGGATTCCGATTTTCCTCCGCTTTTCGGATGCCCGATTTCCATGGAGCTCATGGAGGATCCCGTCACCATCTCCACCGGCGTCACCTACGAGAGAAAAAGCATCGAAAAATGGGCTCATGGAGGATCCCGTCACCATCTCCACCGGCGTCACCTACGAGAGAAAAAGCATCGAAAAATGGCTCTTCACTTACAACAACAAAACCTGTCCGGCGACGATGCAGACCCTCGCCGCTGGCGACTTCGTCATCACTCCTAATCTCAATCTCAAACGCCTCATTCTCGCTTGGAAGATCACTGATTCTTCTGCGTCGCCGGCGACGATCGAGGAAGTTCGATCGCTGCTTGCGACTGTTGAGTCTTCTCCATTCAAGGTGAGTTCGTTGAGGAAATTGAGATCCATGATTGAAACGAGCGATGAGATGAAATCGGGATTTGTTCGATTGAATGGGATTGGAATTGTTGTGAATGTTGTCGTTCAAATTCTCATTGATTGTTCTGATTTTTGGACGTTTGAAGCTTGTGAAGAGGCTGTGGGAGTGTTGTCTCAGCTTCCGATTTCGAACGAAGACAAACTGTTCGACGAAATGTCTAAGAGAGAAGAATTGATGAAATCCATCGCTATTGTTCTTCAAAGGGGAAGTGCTGAAGGCCGTTTTTACGCTGTGAAAATCCTAAGAAATATTGCTAAAAACACCAATTTCAATTGGGGCTCTGTTTTGGAAGAACAGGGGATCGATTTCTTCAAGCCATTGTTGGAGCTTGTATCAGACGAATTCTCCACAAAGGCAAGCTCGTGCGCATTGGATGTAATGATGGAAATTTTAGCATTGTCAAAGAGAATTCTCCACAAAGGCAAGCTCGTGCGCATTGGATGTAATGATGGAAATTTTAGCATTGTCAAAGAGTAGTCGAGTGAAGGCGATCGAGGCCGGTGCTGTGTGCATCCTCATCGAGCTCTTACCGGAGTCAGGTCGATCGAAATGCGAGCGAATGCTGCAGATTCTGCAGAGTTTGTGTGAATGTGCAGAGGGGATCAGGTCGATCGAAATGCGAGCGAATGCTGCAGATTCTGCAGAGTTTGTGTGAATGTGCAGAGGGGAGATTGGCTTTGGTGGAACATGGGATGGGAATTGCAGCAGTGACTAAGAAGATTTTGAATGTTTCAAACGTAGCAACAAAAATGGGAGTGAAGATTTTGCTTTGGATTAGTAGTTTTCACCCCAATGAAAGGGTTGTGGAAGAGATGATGGCTTGTGGGGTAGTGAAGAAGCTGATGATGATATTGCACATGGACGGCGGCGGCGGTGGCCGGAGTTCGACGAAGGAGAAGGCGATCAAGATTTTGAAGATGCATGGGAGCTCATGGAGGCGTAGCCCTTGTTTTCCAAGTGAGTTGAAGAATTATTTGATGTTTGTGAATATTGAATGATATATTGTTCTTCCTAAACAAATCAACATACCATAGGGAAAAGAGAATTAAGTATTTTTTTTTTTTTTTGTCACATTTTTGCTCAAAGTTAATTGGGTTTTTTTTTTTTTTTTTTTTTGTACCCTACCAATAAATGAAATTTAAAATTTAACAAAATGGTATAGATTAATAATATATATTAGACTTAAAAATTCAACCTGTTATTACATTTCTAAAATATATTATAATGCCAACCTTGAAACTAAATAGGTAATTTCAGTGAGTTAATTAATTATTTATTTAGTTTTTGAAATTTGAAATTTGAAATTCATTTTTTATAATAACCTTTTTAATTTTTAAGCCGGACTAGGTTTCGAAAATGCTTACTTTAGAGTAATTTTATTAGATAAATTTAATTTTTAACAAACTAAAAAAAAAAAAACAAAATAACCATTAAATTTACATACGTGAACTGATCAAGGATATATATTGGTTTAATATTTTAATTTTGGGCACTTAAAATAACGTAAGTGGGCGTAATACTAATAAACATTAAGGTATTAAGGATAAAAAAAAAGGGTTTAATATCTATATTTCTTTGCAATTCTACTCATTTTAGTGAAACCCCACTTCATCAAATCATTTAAAATAAAGTGCTTCTGCTGGAAGCAAGAACAAAGTGCATATCAGCATTTTGATTATATCCCACCAACCCAACCACTTTACTCATCAGACTTCTAAGTGTTGGAAGTAATTTAATGAGGTAATTCATGGGTGTGTCGGTAGAAAAATAAAGGACCGGTTATATTTAAGTTATTACGATCTCACCATCTACTCCTTGGGGTCCAGCGTCCTATCTAGTACATCGTCCAGTGTCTGGCTCTGATATCATTTGTAAAATCTCAAACCCACCGCTAGTAGATATTGTGCACTTTGGCCCATAATGTATTTTGTCGTCAACCTCAAATCTCAAACCCACCGCTAGTAGATATTGTGCACTTTGGCCCATAATGTATTTTGTCGTCAACCTCCCGATTTTAAAATGCGTATACTAGGAAAATGTTTTCACACCCTTATAAGGAGTGTTTTGTTTCCCTCTCCAATCGAGTGGGATCACTGTTAGAACAAAAATTCGTTATGGAAATTTTTTAGATAAAATATTTTCTTAATGAAAGTTATGTCACAATATCTCACGCACTAAGGTGTGAATAAATATGAAATTATTATTACTCAGAGAAAAATATAGAGACAACTGACTGTTGTTTTACTAAGTAGAGTGTTCCTATTTAAACTGAAATAAAGCATATAAATAACTCTTACAAAAATTCACCTGAAATACACCTTTTAAGTGAATAGCTTCACCTGAAATACACCTTTTAAGTGAATAGCTTAGCAACTAACTAATTCCATCTAACAATAAGTTGGTACTAATTTTGACACAAACCAGCCCACTCCAAAACAGTCTCAAAATCAACAAAAAACCATACCCTATCTTTCCCATCTTAGAAAGAAGCAACAAAATGGACACAATCAACAAAATTTCAGCAATTTCATGCACAAATGGTAGTTACTGGCTTCATCCACCATAAGCCATTCACTTAACAAATTTCAGCAATTTCATGCACAAATGGTAGTTACTGGCTTCATCCACCATAAGCCATTCACTTAACGAGCTCATTGCTCATGTCCTCTCAATGGGCTCGCCTGGTCTTGCCTATGGTTATTCAGTTTTTTCACACACTCAAGAGTTGGATATACTTACTTGGAACACCATGTTGAGAGGCCTTGTGAATTCCAACAGGCCGAGAAGGGCACTCCAAAGTTACTTTGAGATGCTTCAATGGTCGAGAAATGTTGCTGATAGATTCACATTTCCTTCACTGCTGAAGGTTTGTTCCCTTTCATTGGAACTCAAAGTTGGGAAGTATATGCTTGATTCCGACCTGTACATAGAAACCACATTGTTAAATATGTATGCAGCCTGTGGGGATTTGAACTCTGCGAAGGTTTTGTTTGAGAAAATGGGTCATAGAAACGAAGTGGTTTGGACTTCGATGATTAGTGGTTGTACGAAAAACCATTGTCCTAATGAGGCATTTCTTCTGTACGAGAAAAATGGAGGAAGATGGGTTTACCCCGATGAAATGACCATGGCAACACTCGTACTAGCTTGTGCTCAATTGAAAGGTTTGGGCGTTGGAATGAAGCTGCATTCTCGAATTCCGGAGATGGGTACGAGAATTTGAGATGTGTTTGGGAAGTGCCTCAAATTAAGGGGTTGACCATGAATTTATAAATAAAGAATAAATCTCCATTGGAATAAGACCCTTTGGGAAAACAAGGGGTTGACCATGAATTTATAAATAAAGAATAAATCTCCATTGGAATAAGACCCTTTGGGAAAACCAAAAGTAAAGCCATGAGAGCTTATGCTCAAAGTGGACAATATCATATACCATTACGAAGGTTCGTGATTCCTAACATGTTATCAGAGTTATGCTCTTCACTTAGCCATGTCAATAGAATCCTAAAATGTCAAACAAAGAAGTTGTGAGACTTGAAAGTGTAGTCAAAAAGCGACTCAAGTGTCGAACAAAGTATACTTTGTTTGAGGTTTCCAAAGGAGTCAAGCTTCAATTAATGGGAGGTTGTTTGAGGGCTTCATAGGCCTCAGGGGAGGCTCTATGGTATACTTTGTTTGAGAGGAGGATTGTTGGTGGGTAGTCCCACATCGGCTAATTAAGGAGATCATGAGTTTATAAGTAAAGAATACATCTCCACCGGAATGAGACTTTTTGGGAAAATCAAAAGTAAAGTCATGAGAGCTTATGTTCAAAGTGGAAAATATCATACCATTACAGGAGTTCGTGATCCCTAATGTATGCTAAATGTTGGGAGCTAAACACTACAAAGCAAGTATTTGATCGTTTGTCTGAAAGAGACGTGTATGCTTGGTCGGCTTTTATTTTTGGTTATGTCGAGAACAATAGAATCATAGAGGCGATGCAGTTAATCAGGGAAATGGTTGGTGGCTTGAACATGCGCCCGAATGAAGTCACGCATAGAGGCGATGCAGTTAATCAGGGAAATGGTTGGTGGCTTGAACATGCGCCCGAATGAAGTCACGATTCTAGCTGTACATGCATTCGAAGTGCGGAGAAATAGATGTTGCCAACCGAATCTTTGATGGGATGTCGAAAAGGGATTTGATTTCATGGATTCTATGATAATTGATCTTGCTCTACACGGCCTCGGCAGGGAGGCTCTCACCCGGTTCCATCTAACGCAAATGACAGCCTTAAGATGATTAGAGGTACTGAGTGCCTGCACAGCTACGCAGGGTTAGTTCAAGAGGGCAGGGAGCAATTACATGAAAGGGAGCTTTTTTTACCTGCACAGCTACGCAGGGTTAGTTCAAGAGGGCAGGGAGCAATTACATGAAAGGGAGCTTTTTTTATGGAATGAATCATGTTAGGAATCACGGATCTCCACAATGGTTGGTATGATATTATCCACTTTGAGCATAAGTTCTCATGACTTTGCTTTAGGCTTCCCCAAAAGGCCTCATACCAACGGAGATGTATTTGAGCATAAGTTCTCATGACTTTGCTTTAGGCTTCCCCAAAAGGCCTCATACCAACGGAGATGTATTTCCTTATTTATAAACTCATGATCATTCCCTAAATTAGCCAATGTGGGACTCCCTCCCAACAATCCTTCCCTCGAACAAAGTACACTATAGAGCCTCCCCTGAGGTTTATGAAAGACTCCCTCCCAACAATCCTTCCCTCGAACAAAGTACACTATAGAGCCTCCCCTGAGGTTTATGAAATTCTCGAACAGCCTCCCCTTAATCGAGGTTCAACTCCTTCTCTTGAGCCCTCGAACAAAGTACACCCCTTGTTCGACACTTTAGTCATTTTTAACTACACCTTCGAGGCTCACAATTCTTTGTTCGACATTTGAGGATTCTATAGAAATGGCTAAGTTTAGGGCATGACTCTGATATTATGTTAGGAATCACGGATCTCTACAATGATATGATATTGGCTAAGTTTAGGGCATGACTCTGATATTATGTTAGGAATCACGGATCTCTACAATGATATGATATTGTCCACTTTGAGCATAGGCTCTCATGGCTTTTCTTTGGGATTCCCCAAAATCCCTCATACCAATGGAGATGTATTCCTTACTTATAAACTTATGATTTTCTTTGGGATTCCCCAAAATCCCTCATACCAATGGAGATGTATTCCTTACTTATAAACTTATGACCATTCCCTAAATTAGCCAACGTGAGAGCATTATGGGTTCATGCTAGATTTTTTTGTCTAGAGAGGGTTGTTTGGCAGAAGCTCGAGAATTTATCTGAGTAATGTCTTTAGAACCAAATGGTGCAATCAGAGGGTTGTTTGGCAGAAGCTCGAGAATTTATCTGAGTAATGTCTTTAGAACCAAATGGTGCAATCTGGGGCTCTATGCTTGGTGCTTAACGAGTATATAACAATATTGAGCTTGGGGAGGAAGCGGCTAGATGCCTGCTAAAACTTGAACCAACAAATGATGGAGTTTACATTTTGCTCTCCAATATTTATGCAAGAAGGAAAGTGTGGAATGAAGTGAAAAAAGATTAGAGAATTGATGAATCAGACAGGAGTTCAAAAGCACCTGGTTGCAGTTCGATCGATAATGCCCCACATTCATTTCTGGCGGGAGATTGTTCTTACCCAGAAACAACTGAAATATTTATGATGCTTAGACAAGTTAGAGAGAAGCTGAAGCTGGCAGGCTAAGTTGCAAATATCTCAGAAGTTTACTCAACTTTGATGATATTAAGAAGGAAGAATCGGTTTCTTAACATAGTGAAAAACTAGCTTTATGTGATGGCTTATTGAAATCTAAGGTAGGGGGAAGAATGGTTATTTTGTCCTATTTGGACTTTTCCTTTTAGGCTTTCCCTCAAGGTTAAGGTAGGGGGAAGAATGGTTATTTTGTCCTATTTGGACTTTTCCTTTTAGGCTTTCCCTCAAGGTTAGTAAAATGCGTCGGCTAGGGAGAGGTTTCTACACCCTTATAAAGAATACTTCGTTC